CTCCCCTTTCGCTCTTCTTTATTCCTTATGGGAGGGGCCATTCACCATCCACTGTGGCTTTATTCCTGAGTTGACCCTTGTTCCTTAGCTGTTCCCTTCCCCTGGCAGCTCTGTGCATGTGCACACTGGGAACAGGCTCCTGCTGTTCTCCTGCTCCACTGAGTTTGACTCCAAAGGCAGCTGATAACTATCAGATGGCCCTGGCCCCATCTCTTCCTCTGACGAAGACTATTCATCAGAGCCTTCCCCAGACTCCAGGACTGGCTCATGCACCCCCCACCGCAACCTCCTCACTGTCTGTGTCTGCCACCGGCTTCACTGGCCGTTGGCAGGCCACAACAAGGTGCTTGGTTGTGACACCATATTTGGCTCCAGTAGTGCATCATTTAGTTAGTACCTGTCTTCTGGTGTCCATCAAAAAATTTGGTGGACTTTTTTTTTTTACATTGGGAAGACTACATTGGATTGATGTGGTCCCTGCACACTCCTGAAGTCAGTAGTGTGCTGGTAAATGCTTTAAAAGCAGCTCTGCCAGTTCCATTGCTGCCACGGGGCTGTGCTGCTAGCTGCAGAACAGTTGATTGGCTCACAAGGCATTGTATCAAGGCTTTGTTCTCATCTGGCTTGAAAAGAAGAGTAGGTCAGAGCCAGAGGCAATGGGGAGCTGGAGAAGCAGGGGCAGCATTAGCACAGGAACTGTGCATTTCAGCCAAAGTTCTTCCTACTTTTTTAATGTTATACAACACAGAGAGGCTTAAAGAGTTGAGTGGCCTTCTAAGTCGAATAAATTAATATTAAGATGAAAGGGATGGATGATAACCAAAAAAATACTATTCAACGTTCCAATCAGAAATGTTATTAGATTCAGAATCCTAATCTCATTGAAGTAGTATAAATTTAGCACACATACAGGTACTAAATCTAATTCCATCCTCAATGGTAGAAAACAAAGTGATATAGCAGAAAGACAAAAACAGCAGGGGTTTTATTTTAAAAAGGGAAACAAACAAGCTATCCAAAGAAAACAATAAAAATGGGAGTTTCGAACATGACAAAACCTGATTTAATGTTCTTGGGGAACAAACCAAAACACATGGGAATTCTGACATGACAATAAAAATAATGCGATGTGAGATTGTTCGTATAATAGCAGAGATACAGAGAGAAAAGGGTGTAGAATTCCAAAGAAAATGTGATTTTGTGATTAGTGAGCGCTAACTATCTCAAGATTAAATGATATACAGAGAAAGCCAGAAAGTCCTTATCTAAGAACCTGTCCATCCATTCTCCACCCACCCACCCTCAGCCTTTCATTTCGTCAATGGACTGAATTTCTCTTAGTGTTCAACTGAATGTTCAACTGAATGTCTTCCAGAGAAAACTGTCCAACCACATTTGCCTCATTAACTAGGCCACGTGTGGCTTACAGCACCTTCTTATCCACATCTGTATGGAAGGAATTCCAGTTGAGTTCAGTGAAACTTCAAGGAAAGTAGATTTAATCTTACAGCCTTAGTTAAAACTCTCCAATCTCAAAGCCCTAAATAAGACTCACTCAAATGTGGCTCCTAATGTAGATTTAATATAGCTAACAGGGGATGTATCATACTATGATCTAGTGCAGCGATGACGAACCTTTTTTTGGCTCATGTGCCATAAGCGGGGGGAGCGCAGGTGGGGTATATAATGTATGACCCCCCACAACGCTCACGTGCGCATGACAGGCACGACCCTCCCATTTTTGGCATGCTTTTTTCACCTCCCCAAGCTCCAGAGGCTTTATAGGAGCCTTGGGAGGGCAAAAACAGCCTCTCCCGTCCCCCCAGAGGCCCTCCGGAGGCTTCAGGAGCCTCCCTGAAGCCTCCAGAGCGCAAAAAACCAGCCCTATGGGCAAACCGGAAATTCAGGGAGTGACTTCCAGTTTGCTCATAGGGCCGGTTTAAGTCCTGCGGAGCCTTCAGGGGCCTTCCGGAGGCTTTCCTGAAGGCTCCTAAAAACAGCCCTATGAGCAAACCAGAAGTGACTTTCGGTTTGTCTGTTGGGTCATTTTTCATCCTCAGGAGCCTTCAGGGAAGCCTCCCGAAGGCCCCAAAGGCTCCGAAGGACTTAAACCGGCCCTATGAGCAAACTGGAAGTCACTCCCTGTTTGCCCATAAGGCTGGTTTTTTGCGCTCTGGAGGCTTCAGGGAAGCTTCTGAAGATGAAAGATGATTGTTAAAGCCTTTTTTGGAAACTTTTGGGGGGAAGATTTCCTGATTACACGTTTTAAATGAAAAAATTGATAAAAGGTTTCATGAATTTGCCACAATTTCAAATCATCCTAAAGAAGATAGCCAGATACAAGCAACCGTAGTTAAATTAGCTATGAAATCAGATGGACTGGAAATTAATTTGCTGTTAACAGATTTGAAAGAGAGGGAAGCTGATAGAGTTTGTGGAATAAAGCTACTACAGGCAACCAGAAGACAACTGCCAATTTGTAGGAAAACTAACTGAACAAGTGTTATGGAGATATTTTCAATGGAAACCTACTTTTGTGAGACATGAGAAACAGTTCTTCAGAAAGGTCCCACTTATAATTTTAAAGAAAGTAAAAATGATAAACTGGAAGGATTTTTTTTTTTTACCATTAAGAATCAGCCTATGGTATTTGATCCTAGATGGATCAGAGACAATGATTGCAGTGGGTTTACGGGAGATTAGAAACTGCTAGTGGATTTTCTGTGAGTTAAATACAATAATAGATAATTAACAAAGGGCTTCAAGGTTTAACTTTGTTCTAGGGATTACTTGTTAATTACTTTTCTATATAGTATGATAGGTCAAATCAGTTGATTGATAATAGATTTCTACAATTGTGATACTTTTTATTGTTATGTAGTAATTTTGCAAATATAGAGGTAGAAGGTTATAAATTGTGAACTGGCTTTGCAAAGAGAGGAATAATTATTATTGATGAAACATATTTATCAGTATTCAACCAGGGGAGATATTTTATGTGCATGTTTGACATTCTGTTTTATACACTTTTTATTGTTGTTATCTACTCTTTTTTCCTTTAATATTGTATTTTAACTTTGGAAATAAATATGTATCAGATAAAAATATCAGAGTTGGTCCCCTCATTAACTGATAGATATTTATTTTTTATCATCTATCAGGTGACCTTATTTGATTTTTTTTTTCCCTGAGGAAAGGTTAATATTCTATTTTGCAGCAATATGCGGATCTTATTCCTGGAGCTACTGTCGGGACACTTCAGCATGATTCTGGAAATGTCCTCCAGTTGATTATAGATGCATACAAGGTATGTAAAATTAATAAGTGTTGCCTTAACGTGGGAAAATGGGTGGCATACAAATAAAATAAAATAATACTCTTAAGTAAAATTTCATACTTTTGTAATTCGATGTAAAGAAATTAATTTGGACATAGCATTCTTCTCTCTCTGAAATATTGGCTATGTCCAATGTTTCATTAGCAAATAAAAAGTCAGACAAAGTCATAGAAACGGTAAAATATAGATTACAAGCATAAATCACTATAGTTTGTTGCAGCGATCATGGTTTGAAAAAAAAGTCCTTTCTCAGCATAATATGTGATTTTAGCCAGAGGCTCCACTCATACAGTTTATTTACACAGCAATAAGTTTCTAATACTATTTCTATACTACACACTTCTCTTATGACTACATCAGCCTAGTCTTTAAAAAAATATGTTTTAGACCAGTCGGTTGAAAGCAGAAGAAAACAGATCCAGGCTGAATATTAGGAAGAATTTCCTGATGGTATGAACTGTGCAAAAATGTCAAATTTTAGAGGCTGGCTGAATTTTCTGCTTTTTGCTTTTTTTTTCTTTTTTCTTTTTTTTGGATATATTGATCTGAGGGTGGTCTGGCAGTTTGTTGAACTTTTTTTGTTTTGTTTTTGGAGCTAGTGGTTTGGATGTGGTCTGGCCCTGAAACACTATCAACTACTTTACATTTTAGAAGATTTACTTCCAAAAAATTGTTGGACCATCCTTAGAACAAACAGATCAGCATGATCTGGAAGCAAAATAGAATCTCATCTTTCTCAAAACGCTCGATCCAACATTTTACATCCCTACTATTAAGTAATAGAACAGACTATACCGAGCAAAAGTTGACTCTTAGTCTTACAGAACTGAGCTGGGCCAAATTCAGTTAAATGAATTTATTTATTTAGTCTATTTATTTAGGCTAGTCTAATGAAGAGAAGGACCAGGGCAGACATGATAGCAATGTTGCAATATTTGAAGGGCTGGTACAGAGAGGAGGGGGTCAATCTATTTTCCAAAGCACCTGAAGGCCAGACAAGGAATAATGGATGGAAACTGAACAAGGACAGATTCAACCTGGAAATAAGGAGAATTTTTTTGACAGAACAATCAACCAATGGATCAGAAGTTGCCTTCAGAAGTTATGGGAGCTTCATCACTGGAAGCTTTCAAGAAGAGCCTGTCAGAAATGATGTAGGGCCATGATGGCGAACCTGTGGCACACGTGCTGGAAGTGGCACGCGGAGCCATCTCTCCGGCCACACGTGCTATCGTCTGTTGCTCTTCTGGGTTCTGGTGCACCAACCAACTGGTCTTCACATGCGCAGGAGCGCCAGAAAACAGGAGAGCAGCTGCCCAGTGCGCATTTGCGTACCGGGAAGATGATCTTCCAGTTTCTGGTATGTGCATGCGCACATGAAGACCAGCTGGCTGGTGTGCATGCATGCACCAGTAACCAGAAGATCCAGCATGCACATGCACAGCGGGTAGCTGTTCTTCTGGTTTCTGGCATGCACATGTGCACTTACCAGGTAGTCTTTGTGCATGCATGTGTACCAGAAACCAGAATATCAGATGGCCAGTGTGCATGCATGTGCCAGAAACCAGAAAACCAACTTCTTGGCACGTGCATGCGCACTGGACAGCTGCCCTTCTGTGCATGTTTCGGCACTTGTGCTAAAAAGGTTCACCAACACTGATGTAGAGTCTACTGTTGGGGCAGTGGATTAGACTAGATAACCCACAAGGTCCCTTCCAACTGTCTTAATCTGTTAATTTTCATAGGCCAATCCTATGGCTATTGATAGCAAAAATTATCATCGTTTATACAGAATTCTCCATCATTATGTGAAAGGGAGGAGAAGGAATGATTCATGAAGCCATAACCCAAGTTGGCAAATCATTGTTAATACATCAGGCAGGCGTCTATTCTTAATGGACTAAGTAATTCCCATCCACTTCACCACATTTCATATTTTAAAGCTATTAAAAATTTTTTGTGACACTCTGCTGCCAATGTAACAGTAATGTCATGTTGTGCCTCATTTTCTAAAAATGCAATCACAATTGTCCTTTGCGCTCAGAAAAAGAATTCACTTAAAGTTCCTTAAGTGATTAGGGGTTTCCATTTTAAAATTGCTCCAATGATGGAAGCATTTTAAAATTGTGGCAGAAATTCAAGAGATTATTATTCACAGATGTGTTGACTTTTCAATATTCCACAGAAAATAAGCTCAAGGGGGAAGTCTGAATTGTCAAAATATTTGTTGTACAGTACTCTCATATTGCCTTCTAATCTGAGTCATAGATTTTACCACGCGTATAAGCACATGCCTTGAAAAATAAAAAAAATGTTAAAAAAAACACTAATCAAATGTTTGATGTCTTTAAACTATTCAAAGTTTAGATCTAGGAAGGATGTTATCAGTTATACAATTATAAGGCATTACTTTTCCAATGACATGATGTCAACAATTGTGTTTTTAAGTCACTCAGGTCTGAGATAGAGCTGGAGGTGCTGGGAGACACAGATGGATTAAAACTTGATTTCACTGCCATCTGCAGCCAGGGCTCTGCCTTTCCACACCAGAAGAAATGCTCTCATATTAAAGTTGGAGAACAGGTAAGTAGATTATAATTTTATCAATGTTATTTCCTATTGCAAAGCCAATTACAGTTGGGATCCCTAAATGCGATTTGGCATAAACCTGTGACCTGATGAGTATTGGTAAACTACAACTCCCAGGATTCCTCTCAATTGGCTATCTTGAACAGGATTGCTAAATGCCAAAATTCAATAACTTCTGGGGAACTACAAATTGCCTTCCATCCAATTGGCATAAATTAGTGGTCAAGAAGCATGGCAAATACTGAGATATTGAAATGCATTGTCATTCAAGCAAACCTTTGGTTGGCAAGCTTGGTGCTTCTTCTATGTCTTGCATTTTTCCTCCTAGAGCTCAAGTCAACATGTGTGATGCTCCTTTTCAGTGGTGGGTTCTGGATCCCGTTGCAACCAGTACGGTTGCAACAGGGCCCAGCGTCCTCCACATGAATGCACACTGCATGCGCACACACATACTCATGTGTCTTACCTTCCAACGACGCCTCCTCAACACTGCAGCTGCTCAGCGGAGCTCGCACAGGTGCTGTATGCAGCATGCGCGGCAGCGCCAAAGGCTTTAAAGGACAGGTAAGGAGTGAGGGCGGGCAGGTGGGCCCTCCAGAGCACCATACCGGAATGGTACCTGGTGCTCCGGGCTGACTCTGGTACGCCCGTACCGGGGCATACCGCCTGCAACCCACCACTGCTCCTTTTCCCCCTAAGAACATCAACTCTATAAGAAAGAATGGGCTAGGACACAGGTGATAAACTGGCCGCCGTCATGTGACATATTGTGACTTTTTTCCCCTTTGCAGAGCAGGGCTGGGCATGGCCTGCATTTGATGCATCTGGGCCATGGGCCACCAATTTGACACTGCTGGGCTAGGAGATAGTGACTAGTCCATAGTCAACTAATGGGCTTCAGTGACAAAGAACAGACAAGAGTTTAGGTCTCCCCAGTCCTAATCTAGTGCCTTAACCATTATACCACATGGATCCTCCTTTATAAAGATCACATGGTTTGTAAAGAAGAGGGAGCAGGATAGATTACCTGCTAGTCAGCTGCTCCTTGCAAATCAGCTGGAACATCATGGTGGAGAACAGCCATTTTTCTTTGGACGGAAGGTTTATTTTTGTTGATTTGATTAGATTTAGGCATCACTAGACTCCAAGATAAATCTGAGCATCTCACAATTTAAATGAAATAACAAAGAAAATATACATCAAATACACAGAGTATAAACAAACAGCATAGCATGCCTGAATAATAGCCTATATACACTGAAACACATTTAACCAGCGCAGCAACATCCACGCTGCCTGGGACAACAGCCAAGTTTCAAAGGGCTTCTGAAATACTATCAGAGTGGGCTCCTTATGGATCTCTGTTGGATCTCATTTCGGAGGGCAGGCACCACAACAGAGAAGGCCTGGTTGCTAGGTCTTGACAGATAGCATTGTTTAATCAAGGAGACCAGAAGCTGCTCAATTCTACTAGCTCTCACCAGGCAGGCAGAAACCATGGGTTTAAAGCATGGGTGAGCTTCAGACGGTTCAGACCAGTTCGGGCGAACTGGTAGCTCTGACAATCAGGTGGATCCACCCGCCTACCCTTGCACTTTACTTACCTATATCGTCTCAGCTGTTTAGCGTGGCAGAGCAGATTTCCGTGCCCCCAAGCATTAACGTTGAAGATAAGTTTTGGTATAACTGCGCATATACGTGCAGCGTTAAAATACGCAATCACCAAACCAATTGTTAAATCGGCAGGATCCCACCACTGGTTTAAAGGATCTCTTCCAAATTAATTTGATAAAAACCTATCAGCATGTTGCTTTCCCAACAGAGAACAGTTGAAAAGCATCCACTGTGAGATTTGGGGGTGGATTAAACCGTGACCCGTCAAAACCGCGGTCCACAAAAGCGCGATCGACGAAAGCGCGCATTTGACGTCATCACAGCGCGACGGAAAAAATTAAAAATTGAA